GGAGCGGCTTAAGGAGCTGGGCATGTTTAGCCTGAAGAAGAGAAGGCTGAGAGGAGATATGATAGTCATGTATAAATATGTGAGAGGAAGCCACAGGGAGGAGGGAGCAAGCTTGTTTTCTGCTTCCCTGGAGACTAGGATGCGGAACAATGGCTTCAAACTACAAGAGAGGAGATTCCATCTGAACATTAGAAAGAACTTCCTGACTGTGAGAGCCGTTCAGCAGTGGAACTCTCGAACATGAGACCTGTATCAGATAATAGAATCATAGAATCAAAGAGTTGGAAGAGACCTCATGGGCCATCCAGTCCAACCCCCTGCCAAGAAGCAGGAATATTGCATTCAAATCACCCCTGACAGATGGCCATCCAGCCTCTGCTTAAAAGCTTCCAAAGAAGGAGCCCCCACCACACTCCATGGAAGCTTTTAAACAGAGGCTGGATGGCCATCTGCCAGGGGTGATTTGAATGCAATATTCCTGCTTCTTGGCAGAATGGGGTTGGACTGGATGGCCCATGAGGTCTCTTCCAACTCTTTGATTCTATGATTCTAAGCAATATGTGGCATGATCTATCCAGCTGTTCCCAAATTTCTGCTATTGTTAACACTGGGATTTTGGAAGTGCATACTACATATCCAATGGTCAGTTAAAGAGTTCTATATATTCTAATATAATTATACTTAGAATTATAATTTTTGAATCAAATGTTAGCCTAAATCCTACAATGTTCTGCAGAGGATAGGAGTACTTCCATGACTGGGTTGTAGTTTTTTCGGGCTATATGGCCATGTTCTAGAGCAGTGTTTCTCAACCTGGGGGTCGGGACCCCTGGGGGGGGTCATGGGGGGGTGTTCAGAGGGGTCACCAAAGACCATCAGAAAACACAGTATTTTCTATTGGCCATGGGGGCCTCTGTGTGGGAAGTTTGGCCCAATTCTATCATTGTTGAGGTTCAAAACGCTCCTTGATTGTAGGTGAACTACAAATTCCTGCAAGTACAACTCCCAAATCTCAAGGTCTATTTTCCCCAAACCCCATCAGTGTTCACATTTGGGCATATGGAGTATCCGTGCCAAGTTTGGTCCAGATCCATCATTGTTGGAGTCTAGAGTGCTCTCTGGATGTAGGCGAACTTCAACTCCCAAACTCAAGGTCAATGCCCACCAAACCCTTCCAGTATTTTCTGTTGGTCATGGGAGTTCTGTGTGCCAACTTTGGTTCAATTCCATTGTTGGGGGTTCAGAATGCTCTTTGTTTACAGGTTAACTATAAATCCCAGCAACTACAACTCCCAAATGGCAAAATCAATCCCCCCGCCAACCCCACCAGTATTCAAATTTGGGCATACCGGGTATTTGTGCCAAATTTGCTCCAGTGAATGAAAATACATCCTGCAGATCATTATTTACATGGCAATTCATAATGTTAGGGTTATGGTTGGGGGTCACCACAACATGAGGAACTGTATTAAGGGGTCGCGGCATTAGGAAGGTTGAGAACCACTGTTCTAGAGACATTTTTGTCAGGATTATTTAGATATGCATGTGTGTTTTTCAATGTGTTTCTATGTAATTCAAGGTGGATTATGATGTATTTCAAGATGGATTCCATTCTGTTCAATTGTGTATTAGAAATACTGTGTTGAGGCAGTGAATATGTAACCTTGACAGAAATGAGATAACGTGTTCTCTGGCTGGGAAGAAGAGGGAGGAACTGGTCTCAGCCAGAAGTCAGATAAGCAGATGTTCAGAGACTGTTGTTTATGCCTAGGAGTTCCTGTCTGTAGCTTGCTGTGAATAGACGTGTGTAGATGTACTTAGTAAAACTTAGTTTTCTGTTGTAACTGAAAGTCTGCAGAGTCCTTATTTTGGAACACAGTGTCTGCTGATCTAGCAATCCTTCCGCTGGCAAGCATCTGACAATTTTCTCCTGACGTTTCACCTGCATCTATGGCAAGCACCTCAGAGGTAGTGAGGGCCTCTGCGGATGCTTGCCATAGATGCAGGCGAAACGTCAGGAGAAATGCCTCTAGAGACATGGCCATATAGCCTAAAAAACTACAACAACCCAGTGATCCCGGCCATGAAAGTCTTCAACAATACATTATACTATGACTCCTTTGTCACTTGTCACTAAATCGATAAAATAGCAGTGGAAAGCTGTGGGTGGATTGGTGAAACATCTACCTATAGTCCCACAGCCAACTGCAGATAAGGGCATCTCCCACTATGAACTGCCAGGGTTGTGTTTTGGGTAGTTTAATAGATTTTTAATGGTTTTATTGTCTTTAACTATATATTTTAATTAGTCCTGTGTTTAATTCTATTTTTATGTTAGTATGTTCTGGGTTTTAATTCACATTTTGCATGATTTTTAGTGTTAGCCACTTTGAATCTCCTTTGGGAGATAGGTGGGATATAATACTGATGATGATGGTGATGACTTTGAATGCGATTTTTCTGCTTTTTGGCAGGGAGTTGGACTGGATGGTCCATGAGGTCTCTTCCAATTCAATGATTCTATGATTTTATGTCTACTGATCTCAGCAAGTAGATCAAGAAAGGAGATTCCATCTGAACATTAGGAAGAGAAGGCTGAGAGGAGATATGATAGCCATGTATAAATATGTGAAGAGGAAGCCACAGGGAGGAGGGAGCAAGCTTGTTTTCTGCTTCCTTGGAGACTAGGACGCGGAACAATGGCTTCAAACTACAAGAGAAGGAGATTCCATCTGAACATTAGGAAGAACTTCCTGACTGTGAGAGCCGTTCAGCAGTGGAACTCTCTGCCCTGGAGTGTGGTGGAGGCTCCTTCTTTGGAAGCTTTTAAACAGGGGCTGGATGGCCATCTGTCAGGGGTGATTTGAATGCAATATTCCTGCTTCTTGGCAGGGGGTTGGACTGGATGGCCCATGAGGTCTCTTCCAACTCTTTGATTCTATGATTCAGCAGATAATGTCATTAGCCTGTGTCTGGCTATGAGGACATAATAGACAACTTCACTGATCACTCATATCTCCACCAATAATAGAAAGGTCACTGAGGGTAATTACCAGACAGACATGTTGGTCTAAGGAGTAGAGGAAAAACAGGCAACAAATGTATATGCATGTGTAAGGTGGAATTACATTTCAATATATGATCAACAGGATGCTAGCCACTGTTTTAATTATACGTTGTTTTAATTTTTTACTGTAAGACACCTTGGTTCCCATATTGGGAGAAAGGGGTATGCACACTAATAATATTAAATATGGGATAGTGTAATAGCTGGTCTATTTTAACCGTTGTTTTAACCTTCGTTTTTTACTTTTGTGATATGAATTTTACCTTGGCATTTTAGTGAATATATTTTTAATTACTTTTTAACTTAATCAAGTTTTAATCTATGTTAGTTCACTATTACGGGAGTCTTCGGATAGTGATTAGTGTCTATTTGTGTGCTTTTTTGTTTTTGTCTTTCATGTTGATATGGTCAGTGGACGAATCAATAAACTTTGCTTTCGGGTTTTGGTAATATTAAGCAATGCCTGTCCAACAGTGTTGTTTATTTTTGTATAACATCAGCTGCGTTACACAATGAAAACAATGTATTGTCTAAGGCTTTCATGGCCGGAATCACTGGGTTGTTGTAGGCTTTTTCGGGCTATATGGCAATGGTCTAGATCAGGGGTCCTCAAACTAAGGCCCGGGGGCTGGATATAGCCCTCCAAGGTCATTTACCCGGCCCTCGCTCCAGGTCTACCTAAGTCTGAAAAGACTTGAAAGCACACAACAACAACAACAACAACAACAACAATCCTATCTCATCAGCCAAAAGCAGGCCCACACTTCCCTTTTAAATAATAATAAGTTTATATTTGGGTTGTTGTAGGTTTTTTCAGGCTATGTGGCCGTGTTCTAGAGGCATTCTCTCCTGACGTTTTGCATCTATGGCAAGCATCCTCACTACCTCTGAGGATGCTTGCCATAGATGCAGGCGAAACGTCAGGAGAGAATGCCTCTAGAACATGGCCATATAGCCCGAAAAAAACCTACAACAACCCAGTGATTCTGGCCATGAAAGCCTTCGACAATACAGTTTACTGTATGTTTGCTTTGTAATTATTGTATTGTTTTTAAGTGTTTTTTTTTTTTTGCACTACAAATAAGATATGTGCAGTGTGCATAGGAATTCATTCATGTTTTTTTTTCAAATTATAATCCGGCCCTCCAACAGTTTGAGGGACTGTGACCTGGCCCTCTGTTTAAAAAGTTTGAGGACCCCTGGTCTAGAGGCATTGTCGTTGTAGGCTTTTTTGGGCTATATAGCCATGGTCTAGAATGCCTCTAGACCATGGCCATATAGCCCGAAAAAGCCTACAACAACCCAACGAAAACAATGTTAATCATATCCTTTAAAACCTCTCTTTCTTTTCCTATTTCGTGTTCTGCGTATTATAAATTAATGGGTGACTGCTCATCTCCGGCTGTGCTTCCTTGTAATAAGAAACTAAAAGGATCCATTACAGTGGTCACAAATCTTCATCGACAGGAACATGAAGAATGTCCAGTGTTGCCAAGGATTACTTTGTTTATCACATAAAGAAATGAAAGTGTGAAGTGGGTTCTCCATGGACAGAAACAGCCGCAGTGTCTATGGAGATGTCAGCTTCTTTTCTAATGACTGAAAACCTGGCACAGCCTGGGTTCACGGTTGTTTTTACTCAAGTAGGGAGTGCAATGATTTCCCTCAAATGCTAGAAATGAACATCTGGAGAATGCAACATCTTCTGTGAATCAATAAATTCTCCTGACTTCTACATCTCCTGAATTCTAGAATGTCAGAAGGCAGATAAAATCAAACTCGTATTTTCTTTCTAAAATCATACTGTTACACTTCTTTTCTTTCTTGTGGGTACATCATGAGCTTCCATAGATTAAAAAACCTGCATAAATATTATATATGAAACAACTTTCATATTTTGTATATAAAAATAGTAACAAAAATAGTGACTTACCTGCCAATTAATTTTCCATCTGGGATTCTGTAGGTTCATCTATGTTTTCAACCTGACTATTCATTTCAACTAAAAACAAAGATGAAAAATTATATTACTCTACATAGACCAATACTGTTCTTAAAACAGGGTTAAAATATAATACCTATGGTAATACATTTCAAAACAAGTACATTTGGGGGGGGGGGGTGCTCCATGGACATAATTAAAATAGCCCAGATGACAAAAACTACCACAAAACTTTGTTAGCATAGATGTGGGAAAATTGGCTCCTATTCCCACATGTGGTGGGAATGTGATAGAGTACAAGAGTTCTATAACAAGGTAATGAACGAAATGGTGGAAATAATAGCATATAAACTGGCTTTGAATAAAATATAATTTTTTATACAGAAATTGACAAACAAGATAATATCAAAACCTGGGAAGAAATTATAAAATATATGATATTAGTTGCCCAAGCAACTGTGGCATTGGAGTGGAAAGATTATAGAAAATGGGAGATTAAAAAATGGTATGAGTATTTAGCAGAATATATGCTTCACGATTATATCCATGAAAAAAGAAGCAAATACACAACACACCGATTTAAGAAAACTTGGGTGCAGAAATGGGAAAGACTGATCGAAAAAGTGGAAGGAAAAGAAAGATATAATGTGCTAAACCATTCTCTTTTTACAATTGTTCAATTAAATTAAGATTTGAATTAAGGTAATACTGTTCCCTGGGGGGAGGTGGGGTGGGGGGAGGAGGGGTGTAAAACTGTCAGATACAAGGGTAAGGTGAAGGGGAGACAGATAAGAGCATTAGGAAAACAATATGTGATTTGTTATATGTGATATGTATACACAATGTAATTTAGCAACCGAATTTCTAACAATGATCGTATGTAATGGTACTATTTTTGTGTCAATAATAATAATAATAATAATAATAATAAAAGTACATTTGATTCTAGGATCCCACACCATCGAGTCCATTTTACTGTGAACCTAGAGGGCTTCAGCCCTAATTTGAAATATAGTTGTGAAGGGAATATGGTGCCCCTTTTATATCAGGGATATCTAGATGTTGCAAAGATTTCTTTTCCAGTCTGACAAGACTGAAAGGATCTAGGAGTTGTATCACAAACTAGACCTGGAAAGCAGCACAGTAATATCAAATCTGACTGTCAAATTGGCCCTAGGAACCATGGTTTCTTCAACCTGTAATTTGCTCTCTTCTGCATAATCTTTCCTCACTATTGCATAAGACACACATTCTATTCACTGCTAGATGTACAGTCTCGGGTTGTGAACATACAACTTATGAACATAGTTATGAATGGGCCTCTCCCCTCCCTGCCTGCCATGAAATCTTAGTGCTTAATGTTCTTTTCTTTTTCTTCCTATCAACATCTCTCCAACCCTCTTTTCTTCCTATTGATCTCTCTAAACCCCCTTTCCCTTTTCTCTCCCTTTGGCAATTATGCTCTGGTATCAACAATTCAAGGTGCAGGTTCTTACCTACAAAGCCCTGAACGGTTTGGGACCTCCCCTACCTGCGTGAATGCATCTCTATTTACGAACCCACACGATCCCTTCGATCATCCGGAGAGGCCCTGCTCTCGATCCCACCAGCATCGCAGGCGCGATTGGTGGGGACGAGAGAGAGGGCCTTTTCGTGGTGGCCCCTCGACTCTGGAACTCACTCCCTAAAGACATCAGACAGGCTCCAACTTTGGCAGTCTTCAGGAGGAACTTGAAGACGTGGCTGTTCCAGTGTGCCTTCCCGGAATAATGACCCCATAGCACTTTGTCCTCCAAAGCACTTTACATTTCTTTAGTCTGCTCGTATGCCCTTCCACAAACACCAGTATCACCTTCCGTTCATGTCCCAGCATTGTTTCCAATTTTAACTCTACATTTGGCCTTCCCACTGTTTTTAATTATGTGCTGTTTTATTGATAATGTTGTGTATCTTATTGTCTATGTGTTTTTAATTGCTTGTACTGTGTTGTTATTGCTTGTATTGTTGTGTTTGGGCTCGGCCTCATGTAAGCCGCACCGAGTCCCTTGGGGAGATGGTAGCAGGGTACAAATAAAGTATTATTATTATTATTATTATTATTATTATTATTATTATTATTATTATACAATGCTCCTTATGTTAAGAGTGGAAGAGTTCAACGACACTTGCTAAGATACCATGATTGTCAAGATTGTTGTTGTAAAGAAGAACTTAGCTACTTCCAGCAGTAATGGCCCTGGATCCTCCTCAACAGCCATGTTGGGAATGGGACTCTCTCGGAGAGGATTGGTGAGTTTTTCAATGTGCCAAAAGAAGCTAAACTGAACATAGTATCATTAAAATCTGATTTTGTAATAACAACAAAGTTTGATTCAATTCCTTAAATTGTCTGTGCTTGTAACTGTGGCCACTTTCCACCTATTTGTCAAGCAGGCAGACAAAATATTGTCCATTGCATGCTCTCCTCCCACAATAAAGCTGTTTTCCTCAAAAAAATATTGAGGAATTGTATCGCAGTTGGCTGAGTGTCAGCTGCATTAAGATCACTCTGACCAAAAGGTCATGAGTTCGAAGCCAGCCCGGGTTGGAGTGGATTTCCAACCAATTGTGTAGCCTGTTGTCGACCTTTGCAACCCGAAAGACAGTTGCATCTGTCAAGTAGGAAAATTAGGTAGCACCTTAAAGTGTGGGGAGGCTAAATTAACTGATTTATGAGGCCATAAAGAAGACTCCAGCAAAGCATTCCAGCGGGGAAGCATGCGGGGAATGCGGAAGTGCTTCATCAGCGTCGCAGATGGACAATGAAAGCGACAGCTCCCCTGGGGCCAGAAAAAGTTAAATAGCCTCTGTGTATGTCTGTATATGTTTGTATGTCAAAAATTGGCATTGAATGTTTGCCATATATGTGTACACTGTAATCCGCCCTGAGTCCCCTGCGGGGTGAGAAGGGCGGAATATAAAAGCTGTAAATAATAATAATAATAATAATAATAATAATAATAATAATTTAGAACCATGGTTGCACATGCCTAGTAACCACAGCCATCCACACTGTACAACTTAAAAAAAGTCTGAGATTCAATTCCACTATCCTTTGCCCCTGTGTGGAGGCCACCAAGTAACACCTTGGCATGACATTGGCAACACTCCCATGCAGCCACATATCACCCTGAGGTGATAATCACATGGGGTGGTTTTTTATCTTTTTTAATAGCTTCTGTGTATGTCTGTATATGTTTGTATGTCAAAATTGGCATTGAATGTTTGACATATATGTGTACATCCGCCCTGAGTCCCCTGTGGGGTGAGAAGGGCGGAATATAAAAGCTGTAAACAAACAAACAAATAAATAAATAATAAGTTTAAATTATCCTGGGTCTGGTATTTATAGAATATACATCTCAAGTTCATATTCATGGATCTCACTATAATGCATATTTTTCAAATTGTGAAAGCAACTGGTCTACTTATCATATTACAGTTATTTATCATTACAAATAGTCAAAGCAGATTTGGGAGAATAGGCTGAGCTTTTTGTATGAAGACAGAACATATGTTCTCTGAGATATTGGAACTATTGAACATAATTCCTCGGTTTTCCTTCTGAACTGATAGAGTAGCATTGAATGAGACCTTTTATAAGCCTTTGAAAACTCTTGACAGATGTTCCTACAGCAGTTCTGAACTAACTCTCTGGAAATAACTGTATTTGTACATCCATTGCTGATTCTGGGCATTTCCCTGGAAACATCTTGAGTAACAGCTTTGAAATCACCTAAATGAAATTCAAACCTGAATGGAAGTTGGAAAATTAAGAAGATGAGAACATTTTAAGACATGCTGGTCATATGCGATGAAGCATTCCTGCTTTTGATTCATGTTTATATCAATACACCTCCACAGATTCTGTTGGATTGCTTATTCATTTATATGTTGTTTCCATGCTTGCCACACCTGTGTGTATGTGATGCAAAACACATATTGGAGTTACACGGAGTTTATTCAGGGTCTCATTTCCACTGCAGTTGTATAGAAAATTGAAGGTTGTGTCAAAACGAGTCCTCACAGAATCCAGAAATAGTACCAAATGTTCTTTCTAGTTTATGAATTAAATCAGATAGGAATCTTGTTGCTGATTATGATTACCTAACTCTGGATGTTAATGTTCTATTCAATTTACGGCTCTGTTCAATTTAAATCTCCATTTCTGTGCTGTCATGATAAAGAGGACTAGTCTGGTAATCAACCATTTATCTCTATCCTTTAGCAGATAGCTGTTCCTAAGCTCTACAATATTTCCCGGAGCATTTTAAATACAGGGCAGGGATTTTTTTCTTCCCTTTACTGACTTATATAAAGAGCATTATAATAAATAACAAAATATTATATGAAAGTTCTGCTTAGAGTCACTCTGATTACTATACCTTATCAGCCATGCCATTTACCACTAAGCCAACAAAGCATCAGCTAAAAGTGTGTGAAGAGTTCAGAATGTCTCCAACATTTAAACAGAAGAAATCTTTTCAAAACTATCTTCTTATTCGGGATCTCCAAATTTCATTTAGTTTAAAAGAAATGCTAGGCAATTGCATCATCAAGTCTCCACAGAAGCCAACATTAAAACTTGCTAAATGTTATCTGATGCAGGGAAAGGGGAGGCATGTGTGATGGAATAGTAGCCGTTTATGTACCAGGAGAGTCCTTGACGTCATTGCAGGAACATACTCAAAACTGAAAACTAAGCTACTAAGGAAAGTTGGGGTTCTGCCAGTTGAGGAACATATAGAACTGCCAAAAAGGGGAACCTTCAGAGAAGAGACAGATAATTCTCAGAAACGATGGCCCCCTTCAAGTTTCTCTTTCAGGAAGGTTCAGCTATAAAGTTGTGACGGCGCGAGTGGTGCCACCTATGTATAGAACTGTTAGTTGTTAGACTTAAACTGTTGTAACATGCTTAATCCTCCCCCTTTTACCCTGTTTATGTATAGTTGTATGGATTGGTTGCTTGTAGCTATCAATTAGTACTGTTTGGCTCCACCTCTTCCTGCAAGAGGGGAGAACTTCCTTTTTCCTTTCATTCTGCCTTCAGAATTCGTACCAGATGGACGTGAGTAAGAGACCTGATTCTAAAGAACCCTGATTTAAGTTACCTTATAGCACCAGTTCTGAAGTTTTTTTACCCCTGGGACTCATGCTTTATGTCCAGATCATCCTGGACAATTATTGAGGAGACCCAGGTGCCTTCAAGCCGGTTCTTTTGGCACCAAAGGAAGATCCTGAATCTTCAAAACATAGGCCATCTGAACTGGGGTTGTGGTTTGCTCCAGCATTCACAGCCATTGAGGAAAGAGGAAACTTGGTGAGGCTTCTCAGCTTCAAACCCCTGTACCCAGGACTAATTGAGACTGTGACGTATGTTTTCCTTCACCCCTCTAAAGTTTTCCAGCTCATTGCTTTGAAGAAATATTGCTTTGAAGAAATATTACATTGCTTGTAATAAATAAAACTTATCTTGAGCCATTTACAGCTTTTTGGGTTTTTGGGAGTTCCAGTTTCCTATAGGAGGGCAAGAAGCAATCCCTTGGGGGAAAGGTGCCACGTCCATCCCTCCTTCATTAAGACTAATAGCCCCCAAGCGCGACGGCACAAAGTTGAGACTGAATGCCATCCATCCCATCTAACATTCCTGTCCTTGAGTTGTTAATCCTCCTGCATTAGAATTTATACAATTTTCAAAATTAATTTGAGATTGGTCTATAATCCTGTGCATAGTTGCATATGTCTGTAACTAATTGAAAATACAGTTGTATTTTCCATGGAAACTTACCATCATTACTGGAAATGTTTTCTGTATCGCCTTCAGTTTGTTCTGCCTCTGTAGTCTGCTTCCCTTTCCCTTGGTCTGCTCCTTCTGGAATGATAAAGGGGAAACATACACAGAGTTTGGTTAGTGTACCATGGATGGGTTCTCCGTGTCCCTTATCTTCTTAACCTCAGACTCAGTTTTAGGAAAACTATTGTGATAATGGTAGTCATTGAGGGAAAGGGTTGTCATGAAAATATAACAAGAGAGAAACGTGGTTTTTTTACAACTTCAAAACTCTTCAGTAAATGTATATATATATATATATATATATATATATATATATATATATATATATATATATATATATATATGTATGTTGTTCACCTCTGTGCCCCCCCCCCTTTCGAACCACTTCAATTAACATTAGCTTTCCAAAATACCATTTCTTCTTGTGGAGGTAATTTCCCATCTACTCCTTTTAAGCCATTCTCAATAAATTTTACCCAAACTTTATCAAAATCGTTTTCTTTCCATACTCCTTTCCTGACTCTTAACCTACATGTCAATTTATCATTTATTGCTATTTTCCATAGTTCTTTATACCATTCTTCAATTGATATATTTATTTTACCGTTCCAATTCTTCGCTATTGGTAATCTTGCTGTAATTAACATGTTATCTATTGCATCTTTCTCTGTTTTTTTCCCAATTTCTTAACATTATATAATGACAACAATGCAATGCTTGCGCTTTTCCCTATCTTCATATCCATTATAGCTTGTATCTCTCCAAAATTCATTTACATATTTACATTGCCACTACATATGTATATATGTACCCACCTCCTGGCATCCTCTCCAACAAATTTTTGTGGCATTCCTATTAATATTTCCAATCTTTACTGGTGTTAAGTACCATTTCCAAACCAATTTATAATCATTTTCTTTAACACGTATCGATAAGTTCTTTAAATATCTTTGATCCCATAATTGTACCCAATCCGCTTCTTTTATTCCAATCCCTAGGTCGTCCTCCCATATCTCTCTTAATGTTGCATCCTTTAGTTTTTCCCCCTTAATATCAATTATTATCTTATACAATTTGCTGATTATTCCTTTCAGCTTGTGGTATCCTCCCGTAGCTCTTTCTTTTTGTATCATTTGTTCAACTTGCGTAAGTTTGCCTCCTTCCCCATTATTTTTTATCCAATTCTTGAACCATTGCTCTATTTGTAAGCAATGGAACCATGAGAGTTTAATATCTTTAAATTCTCTCAATATAGTTTCTTTCCTCATATTTGCTTTTATCCAGTCTCCAATCTTATCTATATTATTCTCTCTTAATTTTTTATCTAATATGTTTTTTTAATTTTTTGGGGGAATTTTTTATTCATTATTATTGGTGTTAGTGTTGAACTTTCTGATAATAATATTCCCTTGTATCTATTCCAAATTCCTATCACATTTCTCAACATTGGGTTTTTTTTTCTTAATTTCTTTCCTTTTTATATCCTTAAAAAATATATTCCAAATTTTGTCCTCTACTTCTTCTGAATCTTCCTCCAACCATTCCAAATACTCCTTGTTTATTACCGCTTCTATGACTAATCTCATCCTATTTGCTTCATAGTATTTTTTAATGTTGGGGAGTGCCAAACCTCCAACCTTTCGTGACTTTTACCAAAACTGTTTATTTAATCTATTTTTATTGTTGCCATTGCAATATTTATTAATTAATTGTTGCGATTTATTTATTTCCTCCTCTGATATCTGTAGTGGTACCATTCTAAATATAAAATTTATCTTTGGAAGAATTTTCATTTTATAAACATATGTACAAGATATACACACTCTTATAGATGATGTAAGGAATTAAGGATGGAATATAAGAATACTGAACATATTGATGTATTGTCGAAGGCTTTCATGGCCAGAATCACTGGGTTGTTGTAGGTTTTTCCGGGCTATATGGCCATGTTTTGGAGGCAATTTTTCTCCTGACGTTTCACCTGCATCTATGGCAAGCATCCTCAGAGATAGTGAGTTCTGTTGGAAGTAGGAAAAATGGGTTTATATATTTGTGGAATGACCAGGGTGAGACAAAGGACTTTTGTCTGCTGGGGCTAGCTGTGAATGTTTCAGCTGATCACCTTGATTTGCATTCAATGGCTTGGAAGTGCCTGGGGGGAATCTTTTGTTGAGAGTGATTTTATGTGCCTGTTTGTTTCCCCTCTGTTGTTTTGCTGTTGTAATTTTAGAGTTTTTTAATACTGGTAGCCAGATTTTGTTCATTTTCATGGTTTCTTCCTTTCTGTTGAAATTGTCCACATGCTTGTGGATTTCAATGGCTTCTCTGTGTAGTCTGACATGGTGGTTGTGAGAGTGGCCCAGCACTTCTGTGTTCTCAAATAATATGCTGTGTCCAGGTTGGTTCATCAGGTGCTCTGCTATGGCTGATTTCTCTGGTTGAGTAGTCTGCAGTGCCTTTCATGTTCCTTGATGCGTGTCTGGGCGCTGCGTTTGGTGGTCCCTATGTAGACTTGTCCACAGCTGCATGGTATACAGTAGACTCCTGCAGAGGTGAGAGGATCCCTCTTGTCCTTTGCTGAACGTAGCATTTGTTGGATTTTCTTAGTGGGTCTGTAGATAGTTTGTATGTTGTGTTTCCTCATCAGCTTCCCTATGCAGTCAGTGGTTCCCTTGATGTATGGCAAGAACACTTGATGAAGTGTTGAAGATGAAGATCCACCCAGAGGAAAAGTGTTACCAGTATTAAAATCTGGTTACCAGTAGTAAAAAACTCAAAAATTACAACAGCAAAACAACAGAGGGGAAACAAACAGGCACATAAAATCACTCTCAACAAAAGATTCCCCCCAGGCACTTCCAAGCCATTGAATGCAAATCAAGGTGATCAGCTGAAACATTCACAGCTAGCCCCAGCAGACAAAAGTCCTTTGTCTCACCCTGGTCATTCCACAGATATATAAACCCATTTTTCCTACTTCCAACAGACCTCACTACCTCTGAGGATGCTTGCCATAGATGCAGGCGAAACGTCAGGAGAAAAATTGCCTCCAGAACATGGCCATATAGCCCGGAAAAACCTACAACAACCCATATTGATGTATTGATGTATTCTAAGAAAACCAATAAAAAATCTTAAAAAAATAAAATAAAAAAGTGACTCCCAACCCATGGATTGTAGCCTAAAATAAGGTGGAAAAAAACTCTTCAGTAAATCATATTCCTTTGTAAGGTGATGGTTAAAGCTTCAACCTGAGCCTGCCTTTGTCCAATTATTACTCCAGGATCTCTTCCTTGTAAAATACAGTTAGGGATGAGGACCTAATCACATTTTGAAAGCTTTCTTCTTGTGATCATAGTTAATGTCGATGTTCTTGAAGAGTACGCACACTGAGCATTCATACACAACCAAGAATGTAAATGTAGGGAAATGCATCTGATGGCAGGCACTCAGTGTTTTTATTGCTTATGCTTCAGGGCTTGCCGGGAAGCTCTCATTGGAAAGCTCTGATTGAAACTCCCAAGAATGAAAGAACTGAAACAGCACAAGAAAGGCACCCCTTCCCGTATTTCGTACTCTGTTCTTTCAGATTGCTACCATTTAGGCCATTGTTAGCAAGTTTACGTGATGCCACTTCCATATTTTGTGGCAAATATGAAACCTTGCAGGCAAGCTATAGAAATCAAGGAATTGGTTGCTAAGCAATCTGCAGGATTTAGGGAGGGGGGTTGAGACAGGGGGGTGGGAGGGAGGAAAGAGTGGTTGTGTGAACATTTCAAAATGTAACACTTTACACACAAATTATTCATCTTTCTATAGATGGGTCAGAAAACAGAGCAGAAAGTCACCCAGCTACTGGCATCAAGCTAGCTCAGGAGAAGCTCAGGGAGGCTGGCAGAGAAGAGGAGAGGCATGAGATAGAAAACTTCCCCTCTTTGATATGTTACAAAAAATGAACACACAATCTTCCTACTATGGATGTCCAGCAGGCTCTAAGCCAGCCACCCAATTTTGTTTTCATAACAACCATATATAGTAGGCTGATACAGAAGGAGGTCCAATGAGCTTCAGGATGTATAGGATGAACATCTCATATCTGGAATTCCAAGATCTGAAATACCTGAAGAGGCAGTCCCCAAATTAGGAACAAGATAGGTTCTATAGGTTTGTTCTTAAGCTGAATTTGTACATGTCAGAACAGGTATTTTTAATGTGTAACTCCAGCCATAGATAGATAGACAGACAGACAGACAGACAGACAGACAGACAGATAGATAATGTAATGTTCGTTTGTGGGATTAACATAATTCAAAAACCACTGGATGAATTGCCGCCAAATTTGGTTACAAGACACCTACGAACCCAAGGAGTTACCATTACTCAAAAAAATTAATTTTGTCATTTGGGAGTTGTAATTGCTGGGATTTATAGTTCACCTACAATCAAAGAGCATTGGAATGCTGGGATTTATAGTTCACCTACAATCAAAGAGCATTGGAATTGAACCAAACGTGGCACACAGGACTCCCATGACTAACATGGGCATTGATAGGCATTGACCTTGAGTTTGTTAGTTGTAGTTCACCTACATCCAGAGAGCACTGTGGACTCAAACAATGATGGATCTGGACCAAACTTGGCACAAATACTTAATATGCACAAATATGAACACAGATAGAGTTTGGTGAAAATAGACTTGACATTTGGGAGTTGTAGTCATTGGGATTCACAGTTCACCTACAATCAAAGAGCGTTCTGAACCTACAATCAAAGAGCGTTCTGAAGGTAGATAGAATGACAGAATCGGGGCAAACTTCCCACACAGAAGCCCCATGACCAAGAGAAAATACTTAAGGCCATCCAATCCAACTCCCTTCATCAGGGCAAGAAAACGTAATCAAAGTCCTCCTGACAAAGAGCCATCCAGCCATAGATATAGATATAGATATAGATAGATAGATAGATAGATAGAGATAGATAGATAGAGAGTTGTAGTTGCTGGGATGTATAGTTCACCTACAATCAAATAGCATGATATAATTGAACCAACCGGGGAATACAGGACTCCCTGACCAACA